GTGGAAGTGTTTCTGAACTTTTAGAAATGAATGGAAGAATATTTGATGCTATTTCGCAGAAAATATTAAGATAAACAATTGCTTCGAAATTCAGTGTTCCTCGTTTATAATTTATAAATTACAGCCAATTGGGAATGTTGTCACTTTTAGAAATGAATAGAAGAATATTCGAGGTTATTTCAATAAAGACACGTAATTATTGTTTTCGTTTCTATGATTACTAAGAGTGCATAACGGCTGAGAAATTTATTGTTGACTTTTGTTAAAATAGAAAGATTGTTACCATGCATCTATTATTCTTTCCTAAATGTAACATTTAATGACATAAAATATCAGATTTCGCAGTTTCCTAAATGTTTCTTTCTTCTTTCAATAAACATTTGTATCTCTCTGTTTTTGTGAAATGTTGTCAAACGTAGCGAATGTTTTATATATTTACAGAAAATTTGAAAGTTGAAGTATTCAGAAAAGTGGATGTAGAGTAAAGATATACAAAATACTCGAAGCATAACGCTCATTATAATACTTGGCGGAAAAAAGAAACAAATCTACACCCAATTACCTTCATAAAACTTGCATAAATCAGACATTTGCATAAGTCATAGCCTATTTATCCTACAACATTGAAGTCGAGGATCCTCCTTTTCATACGTAATCCTTGTTTGTTAACATTTACATACATAAGTGCATTTCTTTAGCGTTCAAAGTTTTTGTTACATTAAACACTTATTTGTGAAACCAATAATGCGGATGATCTAGAATCTTTATACTTAGATCAATGTGTCGTTCTCCAGATTATAAGTTATCAAATTTAAATTACGCATCGTGTAGGTTAGAACGTTTAAATTAATTTCACAGACTACTTAGGTTGATGAAGAACGACGGAGAAAGCGGTGTCCTCGGGATTACCACTGACGACGAATTAGATTGTCTCATAAAAATTGACAGCCAGAGAAAATGGCTTCCCATAAATTGCTCGAAACGTAATCAGCTGGGGTGTTAACTTGTTGCACGACCAACGTGCTTCGTAAATTGTCTTGCCTGCTAATTTTTCCTGCCTCGAGTCGTTATTTGAAGGCCTATCATACTTCGAATCAATCAAAAAGTTATCCAATCTGAAGTTAAAAGGAAGTCCGATATCCAATCTGTTATCTCGTTAATGACCACTGCATCCAGACATGAAAATCTCGTTGAATGTTGTCTAATTTTATACAACACCGGCCGCCCCGATTGAAAAAATAAAACGAGCCAAGATCTAATCCATAGATCCGTTATTTTAATCGACGTCGTAGTGCGTCGAGTTCTATAAATTCTATGGGCTTCGTCTAAAATTAGAATATCTTGTCGAAGCTCTTGCGAAGTAATGCACTTGGAACGAAACGCGTACG